ATCACACACATAAAAAAAACGCAGGAGACCAAACATTAACAAACCTTATGAACATTAGCTAATACATCTTTACTTATATTTGTTTTATTAAAATGGAAAAAAAGGTAAACATTCAAAGGGAATGTCACGGCTCCAGAGCTTTATGCCGCTTTAACGACACACATTCGATCATCTCCAGATGGCGGAATCCCACCAGGTGGAACGTGTTGAACCAGCGACTCTTCCTGTTGTCCTCGTGCACTTTGCTCTCCATCATTTGACGGCTGTGTTTGAAGTGCCAACCATCGCCCCACATTTAGCCAGGACGTTTTCCAAACCGCGGTCTTTTAGGGTCACGGCGGTGGTCCTCTGCAGACTGTGATGCTGCAGGATACATGTTGGGATGGGGTTTCAGGGGTCAGGGGTCAACAGACACCAGAAGTAAACAAAGATGCGTTAATCTAGGCCACAGTAATCTTACAGATGAACGCGATAACTGACAGCCCTACTTTGAATGCAAATAGACGTCGCGAGCATCCTGCCAGTTACTGCAGCTCAGTTTGGTCAAATGAATGTCTACGGTCGCGTTCACTGGGTAGAAACAGCGGGAAGAAGATGTGTAGTGCAGAAGGAGCCAGTTTAACAGAGCCAGCAGCGGCATTTGGATCCCATCAAAACTACAATGACGTCAGAGAGTGTGCAAGAGGCAAGGATCCCCACTGCAAAGTTTGAAAAAGAGCTGGAGTTCAGCGTGGCGTCCGTTTGAAGCTCAGCGGACCGTTAAGACACAATGCAGACTGGGGGTTGGGGAGGGTTGGGGGGGCATCAGCCACGTCGGATAGATGAGACACTCTGATCGTTGCCCAAAAAACCTGCATCTGAGAAAGTGCCAAACGTGTAATAGCTACATTGTGGAACGTTGTATTCGAAAGCGTGACAATACAACGTTTTGTTTGCAACCAGGTCACGTGACTATCAACTTTCCCTCAGCTAAGAAAAAGAAAATGCCGGACTGTCGGTCTATTATCTGTGAAAAACACAATATTTTAAGAAAGCAGAATCAGCATTTGTATGCATATCAATGGCCTTTCTAGCGAGAAGTATGCCTTATATTTTCATAATCTTCTATCAGAGAATGTAGAAGACCTTTCGTTTATTAGTTTCTAGTGACGTAGTTGCAAGGAAATGTAAATGAACGGGCCGAAATGAAACGTAGTATTGTCACGATTTTGGGGAGAAAGCGTGAGAATACCACGTTCCACAACGTAGCTGTTACAGGTTTTGCTGTGAGACCGGGTTGAACGGAAAGGAGGCCGGACCTGAGCCCTCTGAGGGAGAGGACGGAAACATGCTGAATGGGCCCAGAGTCCAGGAAAGACGCAGGTTCATCCCTCCGACCCGCGGGACGAGCAGCAGCACATCGATGCCACTAACTGCGCTTCATTGTCTCCGCTGCCAGCAGCTATTACTGTAATTCACGCTCTGCCGCGTTCTAAACAAAAGACCAATCAGAGGTAAGGGGTATTTGCGTATTATCTGTGGCACTGGAATTAACAGGATGTTAGAACTTCATATTTACAGTGCAAATAAGGAATATGCAAAACAGTGAGCACAGAAATGGGCAGGGCGGAGGAGCGCTTCTTTTGTTTTTTGGCAGGTTCTACATATTGACATCAGGCGTCGATCCGTTGGTCTTGGCTGCAGCACGATCAGGAAAGCACTTATTGCCAGAACTCTAAAGTGATATTGTAAGAAAAAAAAGAAGGAAAGAAAAAGGAGCTGGTGGATCCTTTCACAGCTTTAGAATTTGACTAAAAATTTGTATTCAATTACACCTCATCAAAACACTTTCAAACGATTACTCCGGAAACAAAATACAGGAGAAGCAACATTTGAAAGGGCCGCTCCTTCTGGTTATGCAAATCCTCGCCGGAGATAAGCCGTGACCGTTGGCTAAACGGGGCTACAGCTGGTCGCAGGTACAAACTGTCCACATTTAAGAAGCGGGGGCGCGACCCTGCTGCCTGTTGTTGTGGTTCAACCGAGGAGGCCTGACCCGATGACATGTGTGATTTCACCAACTGGCGCACTGAGAGGCATCAAGAATGTGGACGGTTTCCACTCGGGATCGGTCTCGTTTCACGTGATGCAAAGCAGGGAGAGGAAAGCAAAAAGTTACCTCAGGGAAATCACCTGGCCAGAAGAAAAGGCACAAAACCATTTGTGTGACGGATTTATTTCTGTTTTCTCGGAAGACCTGAGTTCGCTTCCCTGGCGTTTGAGATCCGTTTAAGCACGTCAGGATACAGTGCGTCACATGAAAAGGACTCACCAGCCAAATAAAAAGTGAAGCTCATCACCCTGCTTGGGTTCGGTCTGTCTGTCATTTATCTGGTGTCTCTGTCAAAACAAAAGGCATCAAGCACAATCTCTAAAAAAAATCAATAACATGGGGTGAACTAGATTTAGGATTTGAACGACCCCCCTAAAGTAAAACATTTGAGACACATGAAACCACATTTACTTATTCTCCCTCATTCAAACGTCCCGAAACTTAAATGAATATTTATTTGACTTAAAGTTGAACTACTGGAAACAAGATGTCTCCAGTGTTCTCATCACGATGCTGCACTTCGCTCACTGGTCCAGCTGGATTCTTATTCAACGCCCCGAATCGTCTGGTACATACGCGTTTTAAACTTTCCACCTTCTGCAGATAAATGTGAGCACCTTACCGTCAAACTCGGAAAATGGAGCATTCCGCAGAAAGTCAAACATGGCAGTGACGCAGCCAAAGCAAAAATGCCATTTCGAATGGAAGGGGATTTTACTTCAGCTCATGGAGGAAAAAGATTGTTTATATTATATCATTCTAACGCTGGCTAGCTTGATGAGTGGGCCTGGTACGGATTTACGGAAAATAAGTGAGACAAATGAGCAACTCCATTGTGGAAAAGTACTTTTGCCAAAAGTGGATTTCTGTGGGTTGAACTTTTTCATCATCAGGGAACCAAATTAATGATGATGAAGATGCGCTAGGCCTCACCAGAGGAGTGCCAACACATTACGGCTTGTGGCAAAGAGAAAGAATAGCGCGCGATCAACGAGCCACCTGCCCTCCCTGCTGGTTCCTGACTGGAGTTTTCCAGAAGGATCTGAGCAAAAAAAAAAAAACGACTCAAAAGCCGCGAACGTATGAATGTGTTTGGACAAAAGGTCCCGGAGCTCTCGCTCATTCACAAGTCAAGCAACACCCACCCCCACCTCAATGGAGCGCTCGCTCTCCCCGCTGTGCAAATTAAAATGTTGCCCTGATCTGACGGAACAGCTCAGTTTGTCAGGTCGCCGTCCAAACCTCTACAGAACACCTTCCGCGACCTCCCCGACGCTCAACAAACGCACATCGTTCCCCCACACCTGCACACTTCAGTTCTACTGAGGAAATAGTGATAGAAGCTCATTCTGTTGCCATTTTAAGGAAAATGTAGACGTGAGACTGTGAGAAATGAGGTCTGACGAGAAAGGCCCGGCACATGACATCATGCAGAGGACACACTTGCTAAACAGGCCCTTGAATCTGCCCCCGGGGGGGGTAGACGCAGATTACAGGTTGAGAATCTCCATACTTGGAGCGTGAGGGACTTGACTGGAGGAGGCGCGACGAAGACGCGGTGCCAGATGGGGCGGTGCTGCAGCAGTTTCACGCTATCAGTGCAGCGGAGTGTTTGAAGTGGACACTCCCTCATACAGGCGGGTAGGCCGGGATTCCGCGGCGGCCCGGAGCTGCACGGGACTCAAGCCAAGCAAATTATTCGCCACGACCTGTCAATAACTCAGATTCTCCCTACCTGACGAAAGGTGTGGCCACAAGTCAGGTGGGTGGTTGTTTTTTTCCCTCGAGGCCACGACGGCAAACAAGTGGAAACCTGCCGACGAAGCATTATTTGAAATAAATGAGTTGCTTTATTTGTTTTATTGTGTCCAGGCTATATAATACTGTCATAAAAGCACGGCGCTTCAAAGAGGGGAAAACTATACATTGACTCAAGTGAGAGGGCACGTTGGTTCACGTGAAACCGTACACGTGGTCGACATAACAAATGATACTTTAAACTAATCTTTGTCTCAGCTTAGCCGTAAAAACAGCGTATAAAATTAATCTGAACATGTAGACCAATGACTCAGGATCAACGTGTGTCCCCGTGCTGTGTGAACACGGGTACTTTGTCTTTTCTGGTGAAAAGGCGCCATCATGTGGCCAATTTAAAGACCTGCAGCTTTAGATGTGACTGCGAATTTGTATCTGTGTGAATTGCAAAGATGATGAAGTTGTAGTTCAAAATGTTCTGAAATATTAATGCAAAAACATCTCAAGCAACATATGTCGTCATTATACAGTGTGACTTCCAGTGTCCTTCCTTAGTGATGCAACTGGCTTTGGGACTTTCATGGGAAACCTAATAAATGTGGGACGAGAGCTGAAATGTGTCTCAACACACACTGAACCCACTCATCTAAAACTCCTCCATTCAAACATTTCCCCCCAAAAATAACCAAATGTATATGGCATGTTCATTGTGAGTTGTCTAATCATAGACATCAGATTTTCAGAATATAGTTTATTTGATTGTTAAAGAGAAGAGAGATGTTAACCTTGAGCTCGAGCCAATCATTGCTGGGTCAGAAGCCTCTATTGCTTTCAAGCCAGGTGATTCATGTGTGAAATAAATCCAGACAGTTTAAAAAAACATGCAAACATATCTGCCTGCTTTTGATCCTAAAAAAAATCTTGAACTTTGTGTTTGTGTGTCTTATTTGTCGTCCAAGCTCCATAAAACGTTGGTTTTCACAATGCAGTTCCCAAAGTATCCTCTGGATGGCAGCATTTTATCGATCGTGTCGAACGGCTCTCTGCAAATCCATCCTCCGGACATGCAGGAGACACAGTGAGGTGGAAACACTGCGTGTTGGCTCACCGATGATGATGATGATGATGATGATGATGATGATGATGATGATGACGGTCACTCCCTCGCGTAGCCCAGTAGCGTTTGGGGGGGTTGCATAACTTGCATAAAAGCTGAGCAACAAGTCAGCCCAGAATATCGTGTTTGAGGAATTAACGGTGGTCCTGAGGAGTCAGTCCATGTTTCCATTTCATGTATCAAAGTCAATCCTTTGGTACCTCGCAATCGCTGATGGACGTGTCCAATAATGAAAACATGAATCAGCCCCATGTAATGTGAACGTGAGTAGGAGGAAGAGTAACAACCCCAAAGGAAACGAGCTGTTTGCTCGGGTATTATTCACAGAAGAAACAAAAACACATTTTGTGACTCACAAATAATCTGTTATGAAAGATGAGCATTGATTCTTTTCATTATTGATTCTGGTGCATATTTCCTTCACATACAAACTAACTGACAATTCTGAAAAACACTTCATTTGTTCTTAATGGATGGATTTTCAAATCAAGAAGTCTGGCATGACGACTAAACAAAGGGGAGAACATTGTCTCACGAGAAAGTTGCATCATTATTAAACTTCGGCAAATCTGAGACAACATTACGGCACACAAAAGAAAAAGAATAAACCTATTCTGAAAAACACAATAAATAATCATGCTGATGCTTACGACTCCTAATCAGAGAAGAGCCACTGCTTTTATGGCGAATGGACTGCATCCAGGTATCACCTTCACAATCACTCTGACGTTAGAGTGCGCACACACCCAGACACACACACCATGCGAGGCCGACCACCGGCTCAGTAGTTTGGAGTGTTGCTCAAGGACACTTCAGCATGCTGTGAGGAGGACGCAACCCAGGAACCGACCACAATAACCAGTAGACCGGCTCTACTGCCTGAGAAACCATTTACACACACACACACACACACACACACACACACACACACACACACACACACACACACACACACACACACACACACACACACACAGTGTGACTTCTGACTGAGCTTTGTAAAAATTCTATATAATATTGGAAGACAACGTTTTTCATGCATTATTTTTGCAGGCATCGTGGGTGTTCACTACAAACAATCGTGGTGATGAAGGCTGACATGCAAAGCCTGAGCGTGGACGGTATGTTAGAGCGTTTTGTGGCTACTTTACTACAGTACTTTGAATAATAATAAAGGACAATATGTTCCTTTTTAACAGGGCGTGTTGCATCAACTTTCCTCTTAGGATTCTATGCAGCAAGCGTTCTGCTGACAGATGTGCCCCTGAAAAACAGACATATTGTCCTTGAATCTGTTCATAAGATAATAAAACAAACCTGTGCAACAGCACTTTTTTGTATATTGTGAGGTCAGGTGATAGGAGATATGTAATCAGGGTCAAAGATGAGCTTGACCTCTACAAGGTCAACGCCACATGGAAACTGTGTGAGGCTCCGCTGACGACCGAGCGCACGGTGATGGATTTGAGTTGTAAACCACGTTTGAGTTTGGTTTTCTGGCTGTTACGATATTCGGCGGACCTCGGCTCACCGGCCCGGTGTACACAGCGGTTAGTTGGTCCCCTCCAAACGGCTAACGTGGAGGAACTGCCTGTTGAAAGAGGGGAAGGGCCGTGTAGCAGGGGGCTGGGGCCCGTTCGAGACCGTTTTCTCCCTTCCTTCATTCTCCTTTGAGGAAGCCATTAGCATCCTTTCCCCTCCTCCCTCCTCCCGCAGTTCCTGCAGCGACCGACCGGCGCGTCGACCAGCCGTCCTCGGCCCCGTCGTGGAACCGAAGCCGCAGCGTTTTGCGGATGACCAGGCGCTCCACGATGAAGGAGGCGCAGAACCAGGGCACGGCGTACTCGGCCGTGATCAGTCCCATGAAGTTGTAGCGGAAGCCGGAGTAGTCCCAGGGGCAGGCGTCGAACTGCCGCAGCAGCAGCCCCGTGCCGAACTCCCACAGGTAGGTCCACACCGTGTAGATGACGCAGCGGGGCAGCACGCGGCAGCGGCCGCGCAGCCTCAGGTACATCTGCTCCACGATGAGGATGCAGGTGCCGTAGATGAAGAGCGCCCAGACGCTGGTCACGCCGGGGAACTTCCAGTTGCAGTTCACCGCGAACTCCCAGGCGGCCGTGAACATGACCTCGCAGAAGTAGCCGTGGATGGCGTAGAGGTACCAGCGGGACAGCACCGTCAGGCGCACCGGGGCCTCGGGGGTTTCCATGGTCAACATCCTTTCTTTTACTTTCGCGCAATCGTTTGGGTCTCCGTCAGCAGGACGCGAGTCTGAGGAGAAAGGAGCAGAAGGAAAAGTGAAAGAACACAAAGGCAACGTTTCAAGCATGTTTTTTATTCTGCAACAGACATTCAAGGTGTTTAACCATAAAAAATATTTTCTGCATGATGGTTTTTGATTTCTCGCATGTGTGATTCACAGGAAACAAAAGAGCGTTTCATTTTTGGTGTAATCTTTTCATTGATATCATCTTTTCATTGATATAAGCCAAGCGGTCTGAGCTGTAATAAGTAACTGAATCACCCTACTGGTGTCGTTTCAGATTTAAAGCTTCAAACGGCAAAACGTGGGCCGACTTTTGTTGTGAAGAAGCTACACATATTCATTCTCTGTGCTTTTGACAGCAGCTTGGTTTGGACCATTTCAGGCAATACTGGATGTAAAGACCGGCGTAAAAGTTCAATTAAGGGGCGGGGCAATATCACGACAATCAACACCAGATTGGCGCCAGGTCGATAAGGTTAGAGCGGGCAGAGCTTCGGAGCCCTCTGCCACCCCTTCCCTCCCTTGATGCTATTTACCGACTGAGGTGGTCTCTTATGTAAGTTGTATCATCTGACTGCCTCCACAATGGGCTCTTTTTTTTTCATAATCCGCACATAGGCTTTGGTGTCAGGGGCCCACGCAGGGTCGGACGCTTTCTCTACTCTATTGGCCACAGCGCAGGTCTAACAAAAAACACCGACGGCAAACGGCTTCAAAGCGAGGAGTTCAAAGACCACAATGGTTGAGAAGGCCAAGTGTGCATCTTCTACTATGAAAAAGGCCTCCGGTGGAAACGGTGTCAAAACAGCAACCGTCATACGATGGATCATAACCGCTCCGTAAAAGCTCAGAGGGGTCAGGAGTCCACAGCACTGTTTGAAGAACAAAAGCCGATTTTCTTTTGGCTCTTTTCGTCTTCAAACGCCGGCTTTGGCCCAGAGTGGTTTCATGGGGATTAGCACATTTCTCCCAAAACAAGGAACAAGGGCTTCATGTGAGGGACTTGGACCACAGCGACGGAGCAACTGACCTCCTTGAACCCCTCCTGAAATCTATTCACTGCCCCTCTGGGAAACTCTCTCACTCGGTCTCTGACGCGGCCAAGAAGGTCAAACAGATATTTGCCAAATATTTGGAGCGCAATGCATTAACCTGCGGAGACAACGCATGCAATACGAATATGTTAATTACATTACTGCGTCAACATGCCTGGTACAGTGAGGCATGCTAAACGTCCCCCTAATAGCCGTTAGCTTAGCGGAACGACTTGTGACAAAATCCACGTTGCGAAATGTATTTAGACTTATTTTTTAGGTCTTGATAGAAGAAGACAGCCCGTTGTGACGGAGCAAACAGGCTCTGGTGAACACAGATGAAAGAGGCAAATGACTTGTCACTCTTGTAGCACATAAACACATATTACATCTGGAACGAACAATGAAATTTGGGTTATAGTTAGAATTAACGTGGCTATCATACGGTATTTTTTTAAATCCAGACAGTCCAATAATAATCAGGGATGAGATTAAACAAAAGACAGTGGCCGGACTCGTATGTTGTTTTCCACGTATTCCACGGTCAGCGTCTCTAAAAGACATCATAAAACCCAGCCGTCCTTTCTATGTGTTTATCCGGGAGCATTGATTGACTTGTTGCCCCCGCATGACACCGTTTACCCTCTGGATCCTGTTTGATCCGGTCGTTGTTGCTGTTGTTGTTGTTGATGTTGTTGTCCACCACCCAGCTGCCCAGTGTATTGACCGGTAAGGATCCTGCCAGCTCTTGCTGCAGGTACCCAAACAAAGAAAACACAGATGAGTCAGCCGTGGTTGAAATAATACAAAATAAAAAAAGGAGGCAGGAGGATGGAAACGGCAGCCGCACACGCATTTGTAACTTTTCACGTGTTGTTTTAATTTTTAATTTATTGATTTTAGAAGAACGGGTATAAGGTCTAATGTAACTTATTTCAACGCCATCCCCCCTGTTGATCATTCAACTAAGTGGGAAAAGTCACTGCAAATCTTTGCAAGGCAATCAAATTGTGATGTACACAGAGTGGTGCCCTCTCAAGTGTTCTTATTGCCTGAGACGTAAAACTCAATGTCTGTACATGTGCAGCAGATGTAAAAGTTTCTATGCAACTTAAAAGAGCGGTCATGTTACTAAATCAATATAGCGGGTTAGCATCAGGGAACACTACACAACAATGTCACAATATGGCAGTTCCGCCTTTATCCATCAGTAAATACTTTGTAATTTGAATTATACATTCCGCTATATGATTTTTTTGTGATGTCATTGAACTATTGTTTCTCACATGTACCAGTTATTTATAACTGTAACATGCTACACATGTGCGTGTGTTCTGTTTGTGTGTGTGTATATGCATATGCATATATATATATATATATATATATATATATATATATATATATATGCCTGTGTCTCGTTATCACCCAATAAATATCCACAAATTTACCTGTGAGCACACACCTTTAGAGTTCAAACCTTTCCTGAATGAATCCTCTCTCGTCTTCCTCTTTTCCTCCAACATACACAATCATTACAGATCTTGAGCTATTTGCAATTTAATGAATGACACTAAAATGTGGGAGCTTCGCCCTGCGCCCCGGATAGCATGTGGGTCACGCCCCGCGGATTAGAAATGCAGCTCCCAAGTAAGCAGCAGATCTTGGTCATGGTGCTGCAGTCAGATCCCTGCCAGCAACGGATGGATGCCTGTGCACGTTAATCTTTTATCAGGCAAAGAAGCTTAAAATCAATCATTGACAATGAATAATTCATGCTGGCTTCTCTGCAAAGGTTTAAGAAACAGAGATATTTCAAAAACAAGAGAGGTTTGACACCTGCTTTTAACAAAGTTGAATGTTAGCAGGCTTTTTTTTGAAGACCAATATGCTTAGACGACCTATTTTGCAGTTAAAACAGACTTGTCACTCTTAGGGAAGAAGGCAAACCCTAGAAATACGGCTTTTGGTCCTGTCCATGCTTTACACATAGCGTTGTCATCTCCATGTTGTAATTTCATGTCAAAACCTATATTTCAACTGTGATTTCAACACATTCTCAGAGGAACATTTTGGTTTGGAAAACTTCCCGCTGCCTCAACAATGACCTTTTATGTGCCTTCAACCTGCAGTACAAATACACATCATACCTCATATGGTCTCTTATAATAAGAAACAGAAACCGATAAAATCTGCATGAGTGGATTAATACCAAAAAAACTCAGACCAAGTGTCCACACAGCAGTGGTTGTTGTTTTTACACCAGTGATTTGGGATTTTTTTACCGTGAAGGCTGCTGCTCAAGTTATAAATAGGTCTTTAATACAGTTGGTGTAAAACAGAGGGAATAAAGGCTACCAAGGCAGCAGCAGCAGGGATTATCTAAAAAAAAATTATAATGAAGTGCAGCACTTGTATGGAATAAATCAGTGACGGATTTTGGAAATCCAACCCAGGGCCACATATTGCACCATTCTTTTTACATGCATAAATGTGACAGAAGAAACGATGGATACTCTGTGCAGATAAAACTCCACGGGCCGTAAGGAGCCAAAGTCATCATATTCTGAGCCTGACAACTACTCTGCTGCAGCATCGCGCGTCCTTCCGCCTGAGCGGTGCGGTACAAATCAAGGCCGGTTCTGAGCATGGGCACAAGGGCGTGACACCAGGCGGCCACGAATAACCACACGACCTCGACACACGTCAGACTGCTGAAGTGGAACTGAGAAAAAGACACCAGTTAGCCTCCCAGAGCTCATCACAGCCTCGACTCTAAAAGTGTTTTTACGAAACTACCTGATTAAAATTCATACTCCATCAGTCTTTGGGGTGATGTGGGTTCATGGACCATAGAGACAAGAGGTAACGCTTCGAGTTGGCCGCGCTCTCGTGGTCACATTTAACTTTAAGCCACCAGAGATATGACTGGCTGATCACTTAATAACCCTCACAAGCACTGGTCTCCATTTTCCTTCACTTGCATGACAAATATTACCTGCTTACAACACCAAGAAGGGATCTTTGTTATTAGTTTTGCATCATGTTTCCACATATGGAAGTCAAAGGGGTTTTGGTTCAATATCTGAAATACATATAAAAATTGTATTGATTTGAATGTTTTTCTCAATGTAAAATATGCCAGTAAATGCTTTTTTTTTTGTTTACTTTTACACGTCTTCAAAAAGGAGGCAAGCGACACAATGCATACTAACTAGTCCGCATTTACAACCTAATTGTATACAGTATACCCTACGTTGCAGTGGGAAACGATCCAACGCTCACTTCCGGTTTGCCCTGCAGAGCTACGTCATGCCTGCAGCCCTCTACAGAGCAGAGGTCTAAAACAGCCAAGAAGCCCAATTGTCCTTTAGAATAACTCCCATGTTTACAAGCCAGTAGGATTATTAAATAGTACGCATATAAAGGCAGTATGTAAGATCAGTGTGTATGATGGCGGCATTAGATGCAGAAAGACACTTGATTACTGTGCAAAGCCTGATGGAGATAAGCCCCTCCCCCTTCATGACGCAAAAGAAACACGTTTATTCCTTACAAAGCAGATTTGAGATACACGGGACACAATGACCCCCACATAGTGCTCGTTTTCAGAGTTCATATCCATATTTAACGGTGCAATAAACACTTAACTAAAACTAAAGAAGAGAAATGCATCTTGTATTCAAACACCGCATACAGCTATTTGTTTATATTAAACACAGTGAATTTAATTCGAGACAGTGACAATAAAAAAACAAGCTGGTAAAGCTGCCAACTTGCAAGCAAACATCCATTAAAGAGAACCGATCATGTCGAAGGATGGCTGTCACATTTAATAAGACAGATTGACTACAAACCCTTGCTGACGTGTTGTGCACATGTGCGCTCCTGCAGACACACACATCCATCCTCCTCGCTGCAGGTTTTATTTGTTGGTTATTATGTATTTACCTCTATATGGCGCTCCGCGGTGTCTTCCCTCGCCGTGCAGGCCGGCGGATCGGACGCATCCCCCCCCGGTAAATCGTCCTGGATGTCCCGGGTCTGCAGCCAGTCTCCTTCCTCCACCGCGCGTCGACCGTCCGGTGCAAACTGACACATTTGACTTCATTGCCGCAGCAGCAGGAGCCGCAGCGTGCGTGCGAGTCACGCACGTGCCGCGTCTCCGCTTAACCGTTTCATCCCCGCAGCCTGCAGAGCCTCACCCGGGGATACGAGTTGTTACGTTGATATTAAATGGAATATACATATTGTGCATGGAATCCTTGCATTTTAATTATTGGTTGCATTAATGTGTTTGAATAATTTGATTTACTTTACTAATTTGTGTATTTTCAATGGAGAGTAATCTTAACCAACACACATTCGATTTCGTACTATAATCTGAATAACTAAAGCTGGGAGATAAATGTGGTGGAGTGAAAAACTACAATATTTCCCTTTGATTATAATGTAGCGGGAAATGAAAGTACTCAAGTAACTAAAAGCCTCAGATTTGTCCTCAGGTAATTTCCACCTGCGGGTCGGGATCTCCTCCTGGTCACTCCATGATAACGATACTACATTGGATGAAGGGAATAAACGTGATGAAACCATTTGAGAAGCTGGTGTTGACCCATTGAAGGTCATCAGGGGCCCTGCTGGACCCCCCTGCAGTTGATTCGCTCAACATGGGGCTGCACCTGCTACATCATCTCGACCCACCGGGGGCACATGGAAGGGTTCAGTTAGTGGACTCAGCACCATCATCACAGGGTTACTCCAACCCAAACTTTACCCCGCCCCCCCCTCCTCCTCCCTGTGCCGGCCTCCACCAGTCCGCGGATCACCAACTTCCTGACAGGACGCAGCAGGTGAGGCCAGGAAAAATGATCTCCTCCAGACCCCGGACTCTCAGCGGCGCCCCCCCCAGGGACGTCAGCTCTCCCCACTGCTCTCCTCCCTCTGACCAGCGGATGCACCTCAGGAGGAACCGACTGGGAATGTCCTGGCGATTGTGGAGGACACAGCAGTGAGTCAGCGTACGGACGGGAGGTTGACCAGCCGGTCCTCTGGTGTGGTCAGAACAACCGGGAGCTGAGCAGCTCCAAACTGTGGAGATGGTGAGGTCTTGATTATGTCAACGAATGCAGAGAATGAAGCGAGAAACCGAACTTCAGAGGACGTAACCAAAAGGACAACGATAATTATTGTTCTAAGTGGTCTTCAAATGTAAATGTCCGCTTGTAATAAGATATTTGTTGAAAGGATTTGAAAAAACAATGTCATGACATCATCTGTATACACAATTACATCACGCGTCAGACCTGAGAGCAAGGGGGGGGGGGGATCAGTGGACTGAAACCAGGAATAGCACCAGAAACATTAATCCATACCCGGTCATCTGAACACTTACATCATTTGTTGTTGATAGCTGTATTATTAAAATGCAGCACTCTTGGGGAAATGTTTTCCTCTGCATTTTAATGCCTTTACATGTTTAAAAGTGGGTCCAAATGTTTTATTTTACTTAACATCTTTCTGAGAAAATCCTTTCGTCCATCTTTTATTATCTGGTTATTTATTTATTATACTGTGTTAAATCTGGACTTCCACAGCACGGTTTTTAAAAGTGCATTATATAGAAAAAGGTTTATATATAGATTTAAGGTCAAATGAACAGTCAAGCTCAATGTCTAAATGGGCAGAGATGGATACAACAAAAAGAACTGTCAGCAGATCTTTTGGGTACTTGTATATTTTCTTGTATCGGCCTATGACTTATGTTTATATCAAGACAAGCTACTAAACAGAAAATGAAGAGAAACACATCGAGAAAATGACTGGACATAAAAGCAGAACACTCTTGATTTTTTTCTTTTAAGGTCGCTTCCAAAACATGGCTTTTTTGTCCATTTAATGTTTTCAAATACTGTTTTTTTTTCTTTTTAAAAAGGTTCAAAACATATAAATCAATTTGGAATTCAATTTTGCATATACCCTGTTTGCATACCTGTGTGAGTAAGACAGCACCTCTCACCTCTGTGCACAGACACCGACAGAAGAGGGGAAAATCAATTATCTTTTTTTAATTACATTATCTAAGCATTGATGCATTACTTGTGAAAAAGGTAGAAAAAACAGCAAGTCTTTCTCAATAAGTTAAACCTCTCTGGCCGAAGAGCACGGCCGGCTCACAAAACAAATTTCCCGTAAAGCATTCAAATTCATCGAAACCAAAGACAAGGAGTTAACTTGTGGCGCTGAAATAAAAGTCTGTCTCCTTGTTGAATTTAATTTGTTAAAAAAAAAAAAAAAAAAAAAAGACATAGAAGATGCAAGTGGCTTATGTTACAGTCCTTCCACCCTTTTCCACGGGGCTCTGCAAGCGTTTTTCATGAAACTTCACGAGTTCCATCGTTTGATCGACAAACAATAAGCGGAGTTATAGTTGGTAAAAAAAAAAATTATAACAACAATAACAATAATTACAATGACAGTAATAAAGAGAAATGCAAGTAATAAACACAGTCCTGTACAGTCAGGCTCATCTTCTCATCGACCACAGCCAAAGTGATCAACTGTCGATTGGTCCGCAGCAGTGTGACGGACACATACTGACTCAAGAAAGGTGACCGATGCTGCCGTCTCCTCAGCTGCCCTCGCATATGGTTGGTTGGAAAGTGCCTTTCCATTTCATGACACCCTCTGCTCCCAAAAACAGACACAAAGGAAAGTGATAATGAGCTGCTTCCTTGTTTACGACGTGCAATCCGTTCGAGAACAGTTAAAACATGAAACTGTCTTATAAACCGAAAAGAAATAAAAAGGCTGTAATGGACTTGTAACTTGGTCCAGAGTAAACTACGGGTGTGATATCAGTGTTTAAGCGCCACCAATATTTGGCACCTTGTTACCAAGCAAATCAAACCACGGGGCAGATGCACAACAACTACTACTGGGGCAAAAGAAAAGACCCACCTCACCGGGGTTTGTAGTAGAGGTCATTCCCGTTGAGCGCTCAGTCTAGTTCATGTACCTCGTCCTGCATGGAGACGGAGGGCCGCCCGGCTTCGCTCAGACGTTTGGCCATGATGTCCCACTGGGGGGCCAGGATTTTGGATTTAGAGCCTGTAGATGAGAGAACAGGAGATGAAACCACAAACGCATCCACAGACTACGGAGTTCACTAGAGGATCAAATATTCTGCCCCCTGGTGGCTCCACAGAGTACTGTTTTCTATTTGTGTCGGCCTTATCTTTAAAGTAGTTTAAATATACATCCTTAAAATCTTTTCACGGCACAAATTACGTCTGTTTTCCACATTTCTGAGTTGCCAATCAGAGCTCATCAATGTTTATTCCTCTAGTTAATCATTATTCAATAATATAATAATTAATAACTCTTCACTGCTTCACTGTTTTATACAGAAACAACCAGCAGCTTGTATTAAGATTTATACCAGTTTGCACACTATGTTCATAAATATTCATTATTGTTGTTGACAACATGACTGCAATGTGTAAAACATTACATTGTTTTTACATCCTCTGGTACACACATTCAAAGTGTATTCATATGGAACCTAACGCTTAAAGCAACAGCGTGTTTCGCGGCACCTTTTGCTGCTGGATGAACCAAACAAAACTCTTCGTCACTTTCCTGGATTCAACGAGCAACGGCGCTGCAGTGAACCCTGAACCCCTGAACGGGTTCGACCCACACGGGCTGCACTAGTTCCCCAAGATGTTGATATTTGACTTGTATGGAAGCAGCGATGTCTGGATTAAACATAAACAAGCCTCTCCTCACAAATCACGCATGAAGAGCGATTGACTTGATAAATTGATGGATACATTTTTTTTTTTTTTTTTAAATGAAATAAAAACAAATCCGTAATACTTGATCCTGGCTGCGTTCCAGCCGTAAGCCCCCCCTGGTGAGGTGCCTGAGGTGGGCTCACAGACCAGTTGAGAAGATCTCCCTCAGGATACACTTACCAAGCCCTCCTCCTCATCCTCCTCCGTTACCATGACAACGTAAGACTGTAGCCTCCAGCTAAAGCAGCAAGGCCAATCCGATCCTCCCGCTATCGTCCTCTGTCTCTCTCTCTCTTTCTGGCGTGCGCTTACTCTCTTGATCGCTCGGTCGGTCTCCTCCCCGCTCTCATTTCACAGCGGAGGGGGGAAAATGGGACATTGCCCTCCAAAAAATAAAGAGCCCCAGTCAAACTCTTTACCATTTGCAAGCGGATCTCAGCGCTGTGTTTTGTAGCCATCGAGTGAGCCGTGGAGCTCAATTAACGTCCTCTTTAAATATTCAAATAATATTTATTTAAATAATCCATGTTTGAAATTTATATGAACATTTTCAACATGCATGTCTAATTTAATGTCTTAAACTGTTGAAATAATAAAAACTAGACTGAAATGACAAAAAAAGACCCCAAAACAAAGAACCTGTGTGTTAAAAAGACTTAGATAATAATGGTGAATCAACATTTGGAGAACAACAACACGCTGTGCTCCCTCCTCTCGCTCACCATCCATTCCGTTGTGCTGTTCGTAGCTGCGTTTGCCCAGGATGGTGGGGGAGCCGTTGTTGAGGATGGGGGAGGACTTAATGGGCGTCAGGCTGGCTGAAGAGATGGAGGCCCCACGGGGCAGAGGGGCGGGTTTGGCTGGACGGGGGTGTGCTTCTGCAGGTGAGTAGAAGAGAAAAAACGTTGTTTTAGATGCAACAAAACATGTCTGGTTGGTAAAACGTTTATCAAAGATGAATCTCAGTGATACAAATATTTACACTTTCACGCACATGTAAGAAAGTATCTTCCTTACGACAGTGCTAATAGGCGTACACACATGACCTTTGACCTCTTCAGTGTACTCTGTTATCCTTTGAGATGAGCACAATCATATTCCTTTCTCGAATTATGTGTGTTCGTTTTAAGAGGCCAATAACAAAAGCGAGCGTTTACCCCAAAATCAAAAAAAATCAAGATTTTCTTTGCTTCGAGTTGTCCTGCTGTTTATCAATGAAGTTTGCCGTCGGGCAGGTTGAAGAGTGCAGGAGAAGGCCGCCACAGAGATCCGCCTTCTCTCGAATAAAAATGGATTATATGGCACTCTGCTTGTAGAACTCAACGTGCCATGAGCCAAAAAATGTGTTATTGAATTTAATACCAAGCAACCATAGTTTAACGTTACTAAGATTCTCCTGCGGCGTTAGCAGCTCTGAGGTTGAGCTAAATGCTAACACTGGAATGCTGATGTTTTACAGGTACGGTGTAAACTTAAGAGGGGGTGGGGGGCGGCTTCTTACCTAAATACCGAACCACGGACTCCAGAGGTTTACGTTCCACCGATTTCAGTGGCAACGGCTTTTTCGGCACCTCTGGCCCCCGCAGGGCACCTGCAGAAATTCATCACAAAAAGAAAAGAAAAAAAAACGTAGTGAATAAAAATAAATAAATAAACTGAAAGCGAAAGTCGAAGAAAAGGCGCTTACACTCTGCCTTTATGGCGGCTGTGTTGACAGGGAGGTAGGGGTGCCTGGCCAGGTAT